CTGAAAATTGCCCAGCTATGCCATGCTGCCTGCCTCTCCAGCATCGCAGGGTGATGACATTTAATTTCAGTTCAGTGTGGAAGCGAGGGAGGAGGCTCTGAATTGCCACCTAACTCCTGCAATGACCATGGCTACTGAAGGCGAGTACATGTGCCAAGCTGCTTTCCAGAAGCACCCGTTTTGCCAACAAAAGTTTATAACAGATCACCAGGGGCAAAGGAGCATTACCCACTCGAGAAGCTGTTGTAAGCTCATTTGCCCTTTGCTGCTTCTGCCTCTGATTTTGAGGGGAGTGGGAGGGGAAGGGAAGTTATAGGAGGCGATGGTGGTGGGGAGGGGGATGCAGTGAGAGGAGCCCCCTCTGGCACAGCCAGCCTGACCCATTCAGCAGGGCTGAATACGATAAATGCCACTTTATCCTTTCTTGAAAGGAACAAGATAGCACAACCTAAATGCCTGGGTGTGCTTAAATAGGCAACTCTGGTACGCTGGAGTCGAGGGCGTTTGAAATTGGAGCTCCCTGACAGCCGGGGAGCTGCCACAGGTCACCTGCCTCGCTCCATGGGGACTGGCCCAGGTTTGGCAAGAAATCGTCCACGGACGAATTATAGTACAAATTCCTTTCTTTGTTGGTTGGCCTCTTTCACTAGACCATGGCCTATAAAAAATTGTGTAAAAACAATTCTTAAATATTATTTGAAAGGGCAAATGGCCACGCTGAAAGGTTTGACAGTTTGACATATAGCGCCTGGTTTTTCTCGCTGGGGAATGGGCGCGCGGAGCCTGGGCTCTCCTCCTGCTCCTTACAGGCTCCAGGTTTTTTTTTTTTTAAATAGCGTCTAGTTGCTGTGCAGAGTCGCTGTGCTCCCAGCAATTTGACAGGCAACGAGTCTGCTTCAGTGATCTTAAATCCTTTTAGACTAATTTGCGAGCAAGCAGAAAAACAGCTAGCACCTTCGGATCCAGCGCTCAAAACCGGAGAATCAGGTATTGCCAATTAAAGTGCCATTTCCAACCATCATATCAAGACAGATTACTTGCAGTTCCTCTGATAATGTCATGCCGTGCCTAAAGAGAAAGCGAGCTGGAGTTTCTCCATGGACAAAGGATCCGCATGGACCAAACTCATCGGTGACCGAGGCGGAGGGAATGTGATGCGGATCGTGCATACAGCCATGCATATGTGCAGCATAAACGCAAGTGATGCGCCTGCCCCCCTGGATAGCCACGGGCCATTCTGAAGAGCCTGTGGCCCCTCAGTCACTGGCCTGCTAGTTAATTGCCACACAGACTTCGTGACACATGGGCAGATAATATGACATTTTCGGTTTCTGTCACTAGCAAACGCCATGGCGTTGCTTGCACTAGTTGCTAAGAAGCTGTCAGAAACCATTAGCAGCTGGCTAAAGTTGCCCTATGGCATTTCCTCATGGCATCAGCAAAACAAGCATAAATCACCCAGCGGAGCCTCCCGCTATACTAATGAGGCTGTAAGCTTGTTTATGGACTAGCATCATTTCTATGATTATTTCCACCTTTTCAGTTCGCCTTCATTTGGCAGCAGGAGAAGTCAACTTCAGGAATGGAGTCACCGCTGACATTTTACAAATGCAGTTCGTAGCTGCTACCGTGTGGCTGGTCAGTGGTGCTTCAAGTTTGTTTAGTGATCTTTAAAAAGAGGAAAGTAGGAAAAAAAAAAAAAAGGGGGGGGGGGGGAAATCTCTGGAGACCTCACAGAGGTGAGTGTATCGAGTTGCAAAGTAGGTGGAAATACTAAAATCCACAATTGACCATTTAGACTTCTCTCTGTGGTTTCAGTCTTTACGGGATCAATTTTCCATTTAAAAAAAAAGTGGAAGAGGTTAAACAATTTATAAAAGTCTACCAAAGCATTTGCTCTTAGGATAGCCGGGTGCTTTCTTATCCTCTCCCTGCCTTTCACTTTCTCTAACTTGTGTCGGACGGGGCCAGGGTTTATTGTTTTAGGCTTTTCTGAACATGCACCAGTATTTACACTGGATTGAAAGCATTTGCTTCCAATGAAAATCTTGTCTTAGATTACAGACCAGCAGTGTAATTTCCCTCCCAGATGGGAGTAAAGTAGCAGTATTTGCCTAAAAACAGTAGGAAGAACAAACTGTGCATTAAGCCAAGGCTGTTTTTGGCTTGAGCTAATGATGTAACAGAAACCTTTTATTTGGGATAGGTCACCGCCAGGGATTCAAGGAGGTGATCTGGCTCGCGCTTGAAAGGTTTCTCCATTGTATCTACATAAGTCTTCACTTAAAAAATCCTGTTCCTAATGCTTCTGCTTTCATACAGCAGAAATAAACAGGAAAGGTTCTGGGGAGTGTTATAGGTGGAATGCAGAAAGCTTTTCCTCCCCTAATGGAGGATATAATTCAGGTGCCCCGGAGGCATGCTTTCAGGAATTCTCTTGCCCGAGGTAATGGGAAGCTAAGGCTGCTTGAAGGCCTTGATTATCTATTGATGCACAAAGCTGGAAAAAAAAAGTCATCTCCCTTGGATTATAGTAGATATTTCCATAAATTATCAATGAGTCCTCCTCCCGTCAGGCACGAGGCGATGCCTGCTAAATTAATCTGAAGGGGGTTTGAAATGAGGAGTGACTGTGGCAAATTAGTCCTGTGCTGGAGCTGGGCTCCAGAAAGTTGCCCAGAGGACAATTTCAGGGTGTGCTGCAGGCAGCAACATTTTACAGGCCCTCTTTTTTTTCTTCATTATTTCTTAGCTCCCTAACATTCAGGGATCATATCTCACCACCATTTTTCAAGCAGATCTCCTCACTGTAATGTATAGCCCTCAGCAGGGATTGAGAAAAGCTTGGAGGAAGGGAAAGGGAAGAAAAATTAATCTTGCCTACAACCAGATCTGTGTAAATTTAATTGTGGCAACAGGATTAGTTTCTGTTTCAACCCATAGTATGCTTTTGTCCCAGCAATGGTACCTTTTTGTTCAAAACTAGAAGAAGGGAGTTTGTATGGTATCTTTTCAAGCGTTTTGTTCACTCATTGTGAATTCTCTGCATCCTTTAAATCCAGCTTAATTTAAAATGTTGGGATTCAAACCTCATTTGGAGGATTATATGATGTAATTCGTTTGTTATATGATGAGTATTTGATGATCTTCACATTCATCATCTAATCAAGCAAAAAAAGCCATAAAATTATAATCCCAAAAGATGTTTAATAACAATTTAAACTATTGAAGGCTTTATTTAAGCACATTAGGGGATTATAAACTCCTTTTTTTTTTTTTTTTTTTTT